CCTTCTTTGCTCCATTCACTTGCGGCATTATCCTTTAACCTAGTCATGAATCAGGCCCACAAACTCCTGCAATAATGCTGAGTGTGGTTGCATTAGTTTTATTTCAGCCGCTGTAAACTGGCGGTGTTCCCTTGACTGCAGTGAAATAACCTCACGCTTTCCATCTGCTCTGAAGGGGCACATTAGTTTGCAATTGAGTTAATTAAAACAGGAACGCAGGAAGATCTTCTCATGCCATGTGCAATCTCATTGCCGCAGGCTGTAGCAAGCGGGGGGTGAGTTTAACCAAGGAGTGGACCAGTAGTGGGGAGAGAGGACCATCGGGAGTTGTTCAACGTGCTGGTCAAGGTGCAACCTCCAACCTGGGGAGGCTTAAACAGCTGATGGCTGGAGAAATATGGCCAGAGGAAGGATTGCTTTATAAATGCCCTGTATTTTGGGGCTGGCTAGCTTGTATTACTGGCTCAAGATAGATGGACTCATATCTGATCTGGCTTGCCTGCTCTGTACCATGTGAATCCCAGAATCCCAGCATGGCTGGGGTTGGCAGGGCCCTCAGGAGCTCACCCAGTGCCACCCCCCTGCTCAAGCAGGCTCACCCAGAGCAGGGGGCACAGGACAGCGGCCAGGCGGGGGGTGAAGATCTCCAGAGAAGGAGACTCCACAGCCCCCCTGGGCAGCCTGGGCCAGGGCTCGGGCACCCTCCAAGTCAAGAAGTTCTTCCTCCCGTTCAACTGGAACCTCTTCTGCTTCAGGTTGTGCCCATGGCCCCTTGTCCTGGCACTGGGCACCACTGGGAAGAGTCTGGCTCTGTCCTCGTGACCCCCACCCTTGAGATATTTGTAGGTGGTGATGAGATCCCCTCTCAGCCTTCTCTTCTCCAGGCTGAACAAGCCCAGCTCCCTCAGCCTTTCCTCGTAGGGGAGATGCTCCATCCCCTTATCATCTTTGTAGCCTCCTCTGGACTCTGTCTAGGAGTTTCTCATCCTCCTTGAACGGGGGAGCCCAGAACTGGATGCAGTGCCCCAGGTGGGGTCTCCCCAGGGCAGAGCAGAGGGGGAGGATCCCCAGAGGTTCGATTGGCTCAGCTGTTAGGAACTCGAACAGACCAACAGACTCAACAGGCTGGGCTCAAAAGTTGCCTGTGATTTTTGTGGGGACAGAAGATGGATTTTCCATTCTCTTCCGAGATGTGCCGTTTCCAGAAAAACTGAGCCCGGTGCTACCAGAGCTGGCAATTTCACCTCAGCTCTGAGAACTGTAGGGTTTTAATTTGTTTGTTTGTTTTTTCTTAAGGCTTTAAGTGGGAGTAACTCTCAACTTTCATGTAAAAATTATCCATGTAATTATGATTATACATAATCATAACGATATTTATAGTTATTCCTTCATGATTTCTTGTAATCATAAGATCTTGTAATTTGGGGGAGAGGGGAAAGAAAATAGCTTTAGGTGCCTGTAAATTAGGCTGCAGGGGGGGAAAATCCACAGCTCGAGTGCCTCCACCATGCACAGAGGGCTTTTCTGAGGAGCTGGTGCCCTGCCACGCGCTGTGTCCCTGGGCAGGATCCTGCCTGCTTGGGCTGGGTTTGCTTCTTCGTCCAGGGGCTCATGGCAACGTGCGGAGGTTCCCATTGCTGCAAGCTGCAGCGGGGGGTGTAAACGCTCCTTCTGCAACCAGGACAGGAGGCATGTGGGGCTCAATCTGTGGGATGGGGGAGCTATATCACGGTGCTGAGCAACTGGGAAGTGTTGGGGGTGGCAAGACTCCAGCAGCAGCAACTCCTTTGGGGTCCAAGTTGTTCCTGGAGGTGCTGGCGAGTGGTTTTGTGCTGTTATCTAAACGCCTCTGGGTTTTGACCGATGCTGTTTTGGGGTTTCAGCTAATGGGACAAACATGGCCAATTCTGAGCTCGAAGAGGTGTTTCTCAGCAGCGGATTACAGCAGGCAGCTTCCCAGGAGCGGCCAGGCAGCAAGGAGCTGAGCCGAGAGCTTCCAGGCCTCAGCGGAGCGGGCAGAGGGAGGAGGAGAGGTGAGATGGAGCTCCTGGAGGGACAGGAGCTTGCTGGGAGCCTTGTTAACGCAGGCTGTAGCTGCCTCCAGCTATGCCTGCTGGTTCCCTCCTCAATAGTAAAGCTGCTCTGCTTCATTGCAGAGAGAGGTGGAGCTGGAAGACGCAGCGTAGTTTAGGTGAGACCCATCGTACCAGCCTCTAGCACTGATTGAGACCTGAGGGCTGTTACAGCTGCTGGGCTGTAAGAGTGGAGAGCAAAAATGCGGCTTGCACGTGTAAAACCGCATGAAGTTGTGGCGCGAACAATACTGATGCATGTGCCAAGGGCGCTGGAGCAGAGAGAGGCCACAGAAGTGAATTGAGGTCCCTGGAAAAGCCGCTTGTTTGTGAAAGAGGTGAGGATTTCAGCCCATTTGGTTTATCCAACATCAGCCTAAGTGAGTGGAGACTAATAGTGGTAAGAGTGGTGATTAATAGGGGAATCATAGCAGGTTCGAGTGCTTTGGAAGTGGGCAGTGGCAGAAAACTAAAGCCATCAATTAAACACCTTCTTAGGTAGACATAAGGCCCTGAGTTATAGCAGGAGGGTTCCTGTTGCAAGGCAATGAACTGTACCGAGCTACCAACCTTTGGAACAAATGAATCCTTCAAATCAGCCAGCCCTCGCCTTTGTGGAAAAGCCGCTTCCCTGTCATTGAGCCCGAAGAGCCGCGTCATTGCGTTGAGCTTTACAGCCTGAGCGACACAGGAAGTAGGCCTGAAGAAATCAATAAAATTTCACGATAATGAAATTATCCTCATCCTAATGTGGTTTGTTTGTGCCTCGTTATTGACATACAGTGCCTGCATTTAGGACGGCAAGAGAACAAGTTCCCTCTGGAGCAATCTCTGTATTCCCAGGAGTTGCTGAGGAGCTGGAAATTTTTCTTAGATCCTACTTAGATCCTGAAAAGGGGAGCTGTGAGCGCAGCATGGGGGGAATCTTCAGCACGGCGGTTTTATGGAGGCAGGTGTCGGTGCAAGCGCCGCTCTGTTGGCGTTGCTTTTGATGTCGTTAGCAAGAATAACAGCTTGACAGTGTCCTCCTGACAGCCCCACGAGTGCTCTGTCGGGCTCTTGCGATATCCCAATCATGAGACCACCAAAACATTGCTTGTTGTTAGGACACTAATTAATTTATGACTCACTGCCGAAGCACTTTGGAGCAGTAATCGCAAACTAGGGCTGCGCTGTGCAAACACAAAACCTGAGGGCACTCCCTGCTCCAGAAGGCTTTCAATCCAAACATTGCAGTCTAAACACACAGCAAGAGATAGTCCTGGGGATATCGACAGAGGATGTGGAAACAACAGGCTAGCACCAATCAGCATAATAATGTATTCTGAACACACAGTTTTCCTTGCCTGCAAAGGTTTCTTGCTCTTCCATTAGGATGTAACCATACTACTTTTTTTTTTTTTTTTTTTTTTTTTTTTTTTTTTTTTTAACTTTCTGGGCTGCAATTGAGCACCTGCTCTGCTTACCAAAGGGTTTATGGAGGGATTTATCCCTTGTGACTCTTCTGTCGACTTTGTGAGTGCCGGTGTGTAGTGCTGGGCTATTTCCATGTGCGCAGGGCCTGGGCTGGCTCATGACGCCAAGCACAGCAGTCACAATGTCGAAGCATTCGCCTCGCAGAATCCCAGCATGGCCGGGGCTGGCAGGGCCCTCCAGAGCTCACCCAGTGCCACCCCCCTGCCCAAGCAGGCTCACCCACAGCAGGGGGCACAGGACAGCGTCCAGGCGGGGGTTGAATATCTCCAGAGAAGGAGACTCCACAGCCCCCCTGGGGGCAGCCTGCGCCAGGGCTCGGGCACCCTCCAAGTCAAGAAGTTCTTCCTCCCGTTCACCTGGAACCTCTTCTGCTTCAGGTTGTGCCCATGGCCCCTTGTCCTGGCGCTAGGCACCACTGGGAAGAGTCTGGCTCCATCCTCGTGACCCCCACCCTTGAGATATTTGTAGGTGTTGTTGAGATCCCCTCTCAGAGGGGGAGGAGAACCTCCCTTGCCTTGCTGGCCGCGCTCCTCTTGATGCGCCCCAGGATGCCATTGGCCTTCTTGACAACAAGGGCACCCTGCTGGCTCATGGCCACCTTGTCGTCCCCCAGGACCCCCAAGTCCCTCTGGGCAGCGCTGCTTCCCAGCAGGTCAGCCCCCAGCCTGTCCTGGTGCCTGGGGTTCAACCTCCCCAGGGGCAGCACCCAACACTTGCCCTTGCTTCCCTGAGAGGGTGTTTAACCAGTCCATACCGTGTCTTCCGTGTTATCGAACCTGAATCTCTGAGGGTCATTTATGTGGGCTGGGAAGTATTTACCCGTCCGAGCGGTTGTGAAACTACGCAGTGTTACCATGGCATCCCAACAACACAAGCAAACTCTGCTTGTGACATCTCTGGATTGCTGGGTCCTGCTCTCTCTTAAATTTACTTGAAACCAGATTTAAACGGGGAACGTTCACTCGCAGGATGGGTTGTAATTAGTGCAGGGGGTCTAAAGAGGCTAGCTGCGGCACGGGGAGCGTACAGCAGCAAGGTAAACGCGGCTTTCCTGCGTCTCTCCTGCATTGGCTGGGTTTTTAATGGTACAGAGAAGAAAGCTTGAACTTTGAATGGAAGACGGACTCATCCTTACCTAGAGTCAGTGGTGCCGCATGGCAGTAATCAAGATTAGAAAAGAGCTTTTGATTGATCTGGCCCTTGATAGTGCAAACCGTGGTGAAGTTCGGGTCTCTTACTGCTGATGCTGCTGAGAACAGCTTTGCCTTTATGATAGTTTATCTGAGAGCAGCCTTGTGTTTTCCCGTTTGCGTGTCGTGGTGTGCAAAAAATCCCTGTCTGCTGATATGGAGGAGTTGGGGCTGGAATGCGACCTGATAAAATCCAGCAGCTGGGGCTTACTTTGGTGGGAGTTACTCTTGCCTGACTGTTGACTCTAAATCACACTTTCAGGTTTAACCCCTGCCTTCTCAAGACAACCCAGAGGAGTTGCAAGAGAGCCGCCTGTCCCTCTCCACGAATTTAGAAGGACCTGGAGCTATGTAAAGCAGCCGGAGACTTCTGCCCTGTTGCTAGCTATGTACAGATGAAATGAACCCTAGCCTGTCTACATCAGCCGTCAGGTGAAGCATAGCTGGGTGTGCTTAACACGCAAGTTTGCTTTACACTCAATGGGTTGGGTGTTTTTTTTTTCTGTTCTTGGCAGCTGAATGAGCTTGCAGGGAGGAATCATGCCTCGTATGTCTCTGACTCGATCTCCCCCTTTCCCTCCTTCAAAAAGAGAATTTCCCTTTAGTAGCGGGGATCTCCAGCCAGCTTGAATTCTTTCTGTAGAGAAGGAAGTACATATTTTTAATAAGCTTTGGCCACAATAGGTAGCCAGCACTATCTTGCAGTCCTGATGAGGGCAAGAGCTGAAGGGTGACATATTCAGGCCAGGCTTGGAAATTCCATGGAGGATTTATGACCTGATAGTAAAGAGATCTGGCCCTTCAAGACTATTTGAAAATGCAGAAAGCCCATAAAACTAATTGTTGCCTCTGCCTCTTCTACATAGGAGCCCAGAAATTCAAGCAGAAACCTCTCCTGTCTCCTTTTGAGTGTGAACTGGCACACTGGGCATTTCCGCGTGCAGAGCGCAGCCCACCTAAACCACCTTTATTTTAACGCAAACAGGGGAGAGGAGGCAAACCCATGGTGTCCAGGAATATCTGTGGCATTTCTCTTCTGGTGCCCTCGTTCCTCTGCGTGGTGCAGACTCGCTGGGTGCTGCTGGCAGAGTATAGTGTATGTGTCCAAGGCTGGAGCTGGCTTTGGTTTATATTAAACTAGGCTGGACCTGGCACTGAGCTGAGGCTCCTTATCTCCCTTCTGCTGTTGCACAGGGGAGCTACCTGCTCTGCAATAGTTAAAAATCAATGCATATTCCACCTCTTTTCATTTCAATATCCATTTAGGCAAGCAGAGAGAGTGGGGAAGCCTTGAGAAAATGGGGATCGGACCTGTCCTGTTATAACTCTCTGCCAAGGGGGCCCAGAAGAGCCCGTGCTTCACGTCCCTTGGCTGCACATGTGGCAGAGGCAAAGAGAGGAGCAGAACAAAGCCAGGTCTGAGTGCGGGGACACGGCGCCAGGTGTGTCCTGGCCCTTCTCTGGCCCTTCCCTTTTCCTCTGCTCGAATTCAGCAGGTTGACGGAGGGTGGGAAAGCAGCCAGGCACACCCAGCTCTCCGAGGCAGTAAAATGATCCCTCTTTTGCCCTTGGGCCAAGCCCAGCTTTTCTAACGGATAAAAGGACAAGCAGTCGGGAGAACTCGCTCACTTCCCTGGTCTCCAGCACAGCTTCCCTGAGCTTTTGAAGGGTGGGGGATACTGAAGACATCCTCGCAGCAGCCATGAGTTTCAGCTCTCGCTCTGCAGCCGTCCCAGGGATCAGCCAAGTGCGGGTCAGCACGGTCTCCTCGACCCGTGGAGTAGGAGGGGGTGCCGGCTTAGGCAGGGCAAGTGGCTGGGGCACCCCCAGCCTATACAACTTCGGCTCCACCAACAAGCGGATCTCCCTTGGAGGTGGCAACTCCTACAGCACTCGCTCCGGATACAGCTATGGGGGCATGGGATTCAGTGGGCCAATCAGCCCCAGGGGCATTCAGGAGGTCAGCATCAACCAGAGCCTCCTGACGCCCCTGAATCTGGAGATTGACCCCAATATCCAGCGGGTGCGCAAGGAGGAGAAGGAGCAAATCAAGACACTCAACAACAGATTCGCCTCCTTCATTGACAAGGTGAGGTGTTGTAAAGACCGATAGCTCTGTGGACACTGCTTAAAAGCAGGTCTGACCCAAAGCTTGCTTAACCCAGTGGGGGATTCACAAATGGGCTTAGCGTCAGGTCCCCAAGAATGTGGTGTGACTTGCCTGCTGCAATCCATTAACTCTTACTAAAGCCCTGCTTGCATTGCCATCAGTAAAGGGTCTTGCCCTGCTTTGGCCAGCTTTGTACCCCCTTTATTTAGCTGCTATTGCCCATAATGTGGGTGCAGGCTTTAAAGATCAAATCTGCACCCAAGCACACCACTGCCAAATTCAGGGAGGAGGGGGCCTCCTGGAGAGGAATTGTCCCAGTAGAACAGGTCTTGATGTAAGTCAGGGCTTGCTGTGTTTGTTTGCACTGCCCTGTACCTCTGTTGCTTTGCTGTCTTGCGCTAATTGATCCTATGTCCTGTGTAAACTTCAGCTCTGGCATCCTCAAAATGCAAGGAATCCAGACCTGGAGTTGGAGTAATTGCCTGACTCTGAGGTCTGTGGATGGCTTCTGTCAAGTGTCAGGCGAGCAGAATCTCCTTATCTGTAATTCATACAAAGCCTTAAAGTCATAAGTCAAGCCCCAGAGTAGCAGCACTCCCTCCTGCTCTTTATCACCCTTCCAGAGTTGAGGTGCTTCCTATGAGCAATCTAAATTCTTCAGACGCCATCTGTAGCCTGTTGTTCCCCCAGGATCCAAACTCTGTAGTGTCAGCCCCCCCTTTCCTCCGACTTTCACAAATGACCCCTTGGTTGTTTCCCAGGTCCGGTTTCTGGAGCAGCAAAACAAAATACTGGAGACCAAATGGAGCCTCCTCCAGGACCAGAAGACTGCCCGGAGTAACATTGCTCCCATGTTTGAGGCATACATCAACAACCTGCGACGTCAACTGGATGGGTTGTTGAATGACAAAGGGCGCTTGGAGGGCGAACTGAAGAACATGCAGGATCTTGTTGAGGATTTCAAGACCAAGTAACGTATAATCTTCCCATCTAACGGTGTAGTTGAGCTGGCAGGTTGGTCAGTAGATTGGCAGAGATATCCCGTTTTTCTGCTAGGGACGGAGATTTTTTTTCCAGCCATGAGTTAGTTGTCTAGTCCAGGGAATCTGCCTGGATTCTTCTTGCCTGGATCGCTTGTTGTTCCTGGCCCATTGTTCCTACATGGTCTTCAGTGGCTCCCTCCTCTTGGCTTTGCTTTGGGGCCTCCTCAGGGATGGCTTCATACTTTGGGTTAGATGTGCCCATTCAGGCCCTTAGGAATGCCTTGGGAGCTCAGCAGGCGGTGGGTGAACTGCTGCTTGCTTTGTGGGTAGGTAATGGAGCAGGTGACCTGCAATTTTTAAGCAATTTTTCAGTCCAAATCGTGTCGCTTGGGAGGAGTCCCATGAAGAAAGTAGCCTTTGTCCCAGCCTGTGCCCAGCCCAGCTGTACAGTGGAATGCCTAAAGAAAGGAGGGAGCTGGCAAACTGGATCAGGCAGGAACTGAAAGCAAACAGATCTGATAATCCCCAGGGTGTGTTTAGGGAAAGTCAATAGCCAGTGATTCCCAAGGAGGTGCACGGTAATGATGTTTCCCCCAACCCTGCTCAGTTATTTCTACTCTGTGCTCATCCACGGTTGTACTTCACATCTCTGCCAGGCAGCAGCAAGGACCTGGTTTGCACCCAGAGGAATTCTAGCCCTAATTTTAGTTGCATGTCACATGAATGCAAGGTGCACAGCTGCATATTTATTCCTCCAGCTTACAGGTCCATGCAAAACCAAACCCTGTGTGTGTTAAGAGAAGGGAAGCAGGAATTAGGAGCCTAAGATGCTAGCGCAGCAGCAGAAGCGAGGCTGTAGTAGCTGGAGTTCAAACCTGCTTCTCCCCATTGATAGAAATGAGATTTTCTTCCTATAGAATTCATTCATTCTATAGGAAGAAAATCTCATTTCTAAGTAGAATACCTAAGACATGACCAGCTCTTTATGTGTCTGTTGCTTCCTCTTCATATGCCCAATTTGCACAGTAATGCTGAGTTTACATCTGGGGTAGGGGAGGGGATGGATATGCACGAGGCTCCAAGGGATGAGGTTCAGCCCCTCATTCAGTAACTGCATTGACTGAGGGCGTGGTTCAAGGTAAGCAAGGGTAGGAGCAGACTGCGTTCATGCTGTCCACGTGGCTTGGAGCAGGGCGCGCCAAGGTGTGACAGTGCACTGGGCTTCCCCGGGCACTTTGGGAGTTAATGGAGAACGTTGAATGATTTGTCAATTCCTTGACCAGCTTGGTGGAGCTTGCCCCAGGAAATTAGGAATTTGACAAACCGCTCTAGAATAATTCAGTCTTTTTACCTGTCTCTGATTATCCATTCTGCGCTGCCGGCCGTGCATACACAGCGCAAGCACATAATTTGCAAGTCGTATATTACTCTGCAATAGCAACGGGTGCAGTTCCTTGACCTGAAAAGGGACAACGTCCATTTATGCCGGTGTAGATGGGCAAGCTTCCAGTGCGGAGCAGAAGTGGGGGTATGTGAAGGCTGTTGGGAGTGAAGCAGCTCATGCTTTGGAAGGCAAATTACAGCGCTAGCCATGCAGGGACTGTGTAAATAAATGGAGCGGTGTTCCAACTATGGCAACAGCAATTCCGAAACAGCTGGAGAAGCTGGTTCCTGCTCTGCTCCTTGGATGACTTTCAGGATTCACACAGCAGATCCTTGCTGTTTGTTTCAGCAGGTTGGCTCGCTTAGAACGGTGTAAGGCAGGCTCTGAGCTCCAGGCTTGCGAGCGGTACAGATCAGTGAACTCCCATAAAATCAGTGGAGCATGGCTTATCTGCTGAGGATCTAGCTCATTACATCGCAAGGTGAAGACCTAAGGAAGGGGTGTAGCCAAAATCAGAAGTTTGTGTGACTTTGAAGGACAGGCATTTTGTGCAGAATGAGAACAATTCTAGTCAGCTCTTACCGGGGTAGTGGCATGGGATTGCCACCTGCAAAACGTTCCCAAATGGCTGTAAGAAGGAAGAGTGCGGTGAAAGCGGCATTAGCAGGTGGTTCAATCAGCATCGAGGGATTTACCAAATCTGCTGGCATCTCTTCTGCATTTGTATTTGCTCTCTCAATGGGGCGAGTGAAAAAGCCGAGAGCCTCAGGACGTAGGCTGCCGTCCTGTAGCTGTTCATGAGTGAGGATAAGGAGCAGAAATCTTCTGAAATGCAGTGAATTTTGATGAATGGGGGAAAGCATGGGTGAGAACTGCTTTTCAGGTTAGTGGTCATGACAGCGTGGACTAGAACAGCTTACAGGCATCAGCTCATCTAAACAGTACCCTGGACCTGAGGCATGCAGCTGGTACCTCTTGTGCCAATAATGCACATGCTGCAGTGGCAGAGCAAACCTCTGCCTCTGGCCGGCCTGCTTGGGGAAGTCACAGGCTTTGCTGAGGTGGCTCACAAAGAGAAATGGAGGGAGAGGGAAGGGAATGGGGGTAACTCTTCACTGTGACTTTTTTTCCTTTTACCCAGGCTCTAACTTCACCCCAATCCCTTTTTTTCTGGCAGATATGAAGACGAAATCAACAAGCGCACGGCAGCAGAGAACGAGTTTGTGGTGCTCAAGAAGGTGAGTGGCCATGGATGTGAGCTGGGACTGATGATATATGTTTGCAGACCTTCTCCCCCTTTTGCCCCTACGCTCTCTTTGCTACAGCTGTGCCTAGAGACCTGCAGGTGAAAAATGACAGCTCTCATTTCTGCATAAAGGCTGCCTCAGTGTAGGCACTGAAGTCCCTGTAGGAAGCTGGGAAGGAGGGCCAGATGCCATGGATATCCTAGATTATGGCTGTATCTTTCCAAACCGACAGTGGACTTGCAAGCACAGGTCCGGGGGACCCTACAGGAATTATGGGATCCTGTGCACCAGTAATGTTTAGTACACTGGTAGATAATTTTTAGGATGTGGTGGTCATTGGGCAGATGGGACATGGAGAGCAGACAGCTTGGGGAACTTGATGGCCTCATGGCTTCTTATGAAGCCATCAAAGGTTGGGTGGATGTAGTCATTAAAGCTACGGCAATCTCAATGGATTATCACTCTTTTTTAGGATGTGGATGCTGCCTACATGAACAAAGTGGAGCTGGAGGCCAAGGTGGATGCGCTGACGGATGAGATTAACTTCCTGAGGTCTCTCTACGAAGCGGTAAGGTCCTTTCTGCTGCTTGTGGCTGCTGCAGCGTAGCACCACCAGTGGGTGAAGAACAGCAAATGGACTAAGAAAATGAATGTGCTGGTTCCAGAGACAGGAAAGGAGATGGAGACGTGGTGTCTTCCCTTGCTTAAGCAGAAAAAAGCCTGCAAGTGCAGTGCACAACCTGTGAATTGTCACAGTGATTTCTCTCTGGCTGGGATGTAAGATGGATTTATTGCAGCCGTAGCCAGGACGTGCATTATTTTTTTTTGATGCTGTTAGTGTGAAAACAAGGAAAACCAGCGTATTATAGCTGTGCTGTAGTGCTGGTGTGTGCGTCTGTGTTTGTGTGCTGTGTGAGAGAAAGAAAGGAAAGCTCCTTGCCCCAGACGCCTTTATCTATCCCATTATTTGCAAGATAAGAGTTTGATTGAACTGGACACATTGCATCCTTGGGTGAGGTGGTGGAATTTGGCCCTCGCTTTGTTGTGAGGCTGATGCTCAAGCTTCCTGGACTAGCATTTCATGCTGGGTTCTTATCTCAGGAGTGGGGTAAGCTAACCTTGCTGTCAAAATGTGGGTGATAAGGAAGCAGCTCCATTTCTGCTGTTGTTTGCTACTTTGTGCTTTCAAGGTTGATGTGATTCAGTTGGTTTCCTTCTAATTAATGAATGTTTTGATTGAATTCTTCTTAATCTGCCTCCCTTTCCCTTTTCTTCTCAGATTCTATCTTTAACTGGCTTCCAAAAGAGAGGCCCTTAAAAGTCAGTGATTAATAGTATTGTTTTTAATGCAACTGGCAGGAACTTCATGAGCTGCAGGCCCAGATCTCTGACACCTCTGTGGTGCTGTCTATGGATAACAGTCGAAACCTGGACCTGGACAGCATCATCGCAGAGGTCAAGGCACAGTATGAAGAGATTGCCAACAGGAGCCGAGCGGAGGCCGAGTCCTGGTATCAAAGCAAGGTGAGTTAAGGGAGAGATAAAGGCAGCTGCAGCTTCTGTTAGTACCTGTATCCTGTGTGTCATGAGGGGGAGAGATTTTAGCCGGCTAATTGACTGCCAGCCTGACTCCATCCTTTTGTCCTATGCTGTTTTATGTCACAGTACGAGGCACTGCAGGTCACTGCTGGGAAACATGGAGATGACCTGCGCAACACGAAGAATGAGATCTCGGAGATAAACCGAATGATCCAGAGGCTGCAGGGTGAAATCGAAAATGCAAAGGCCCAGGTGAGGAGCTGCCCTTGGTCTCCTACTGCAGAGCAGTGGATTTGGCAGCAACAAGCGTGCGAGGGATCTGGGTATAACGCAGCATCTGTAGAAGCAGTTTGGGGGTGGCTGCAATGCTCACTTCAAAAGATCTCGGTTCTGCTGGAGGGAGAAACTGTGTTGTGAGCACTGTAATGCTGAGAGGCTGCTGAACTGTAGGTGAGAACAAGCCTGCCAGCGACCGGGGAGCGCAGAAGGGGAGCGATGCAGAGCCGTTTCCAAAGGGCAAGGCTGCGTGTGGCCTCCCTCCCAGCCACACACATTCCTTGTACCCTCTTGCTTCTGAGTTCTTTGTCCACTCCCTTTTTACAGATGAGAACACCATGTTTGGGCACATAAAAGAATTTGTCAGCTCTATGGGAGTTCTGTTTGCTTTCTGCAGGGGCTGTTATCGCTTTATCAAAACGATGGTGAAAGCCAGACCAGTGAGTGGTTGAGACCATGCTGGGGGCTGAAAACTGGCTGTGAATAACCAGGGTGCACAGAGCTGGAGATAGGCCGTTGTGATTCACCCCTTTGTGTTTATTTGGTTTCAGGGCTGGGAGGCTTTAACGCAGGCTTACAGGCAAAGAGCTGACCCAGTACAGCTCCCTTGAATAATGAATGAGGGTAGAAAGCACGTGTGTTCGGTGTGAGCCCTTCCTGCCAAACACAGGGCTTTTGTGGAGGTGCAGGGGGCACAGCTGAGGGTGTGTTAGACTGCCAGCTTGATGTGGCCCCACAGGGATGCTTTTGGGGTAGCTCTGCATCGTTTGTTAACTGCAGGTCTGCTCGAGTCCACGCTTGCCTCACATCAAAGCTTGCTGGAGACCAACTGGCTCTGAACAAGCTCTGGGGTGTAATAGGAGAGAAAAACCTGAGCTTGCATTAACCCCAGGTGTTGTGCTGTTGTGTGCGGTGTGGGCGGGCTGAGAAGCTGAGGATCCCCTGAAGAAAGTCTTCATGTAGCCAGTGGAGAGAAATAGGGGCTGCCTTTTGGAATAACAGATCTTGGGATGAGATGAGCTTCCTTTGCAGGCTGATCTCCATCCAGTGCTCAAAAAAAAGTGTAGGCATGAACTTCTAGGGATCTAAGTTGAGCAGATGGCTCCAGGGCTCTGCAGATACACCGAGATGGTCTGGCCAGTAGATGTGTCAGAAGTCCATGGGCAGTAGTGTCCTCCACCAAGGAGGTGAGGTGCCCACTGATGTACCCTGCTCCATCCCTGTAGCGTGCCAAGCTGGAGGCAGCCATTGCTGAAGCTGAGGAACGTGGTGAGTTGGCTGTCAAAGATGCCAGGGCAAAGCTGGAGGAGCTGGAGGCAGCTCTGCAGAAGGCAAAGCAGGACATGGCCCGGCAGCTCCGTGAGTATCAGGAGCTCATGAACGTCAAGCTGGCCCTGGACATCGAGATTGCGACCTACAGGAAGCTCCTGGAGGGCGAGGAGAGCAGGTGGGTGCAACCTATGGGTTTTATGTGAGGAAAGGTCCAGCCCCATGTTCCCTTTGCTTGGGGCCATTTTGAGGGCCCAATTCCAATTTCTGCAAGGAAAGAAGAGAAAACCTTGCATATTAAACTGATTGTTAGTCCTGAAAATGCTTTGGCTGAAGAGCCAAACTGGCAAGTTAATACTTTTGGTGAAAATATTCAGAGAAGGAAAAAGTTGTTTCCCGTCATGTGTCTGCTGCGGCAGAAAATTTCCAAGTGGCTCAAATCCTCATGGGATTAGGGCAGAGGTTCTGTGGTCTTTCAGGCCCCCCTGGGTGATAACAGAGTTTGTAAATGTAGGGCCAGAACAAAGCGCTGGATGGCACACTTATCTTGTCTGAATTATTTACAAGAGCAGTAATAACTCACTGCCATTGTCTTCATCCTCAGTGCTGAGGCCCTGGGGGAACTCTGAGTAATACGGAGTCTAACCCGTCCTCTTCCTTTTTTGCCCTTGTGTTTTTCTTTCTCCCAACAGGTTGGCTGGTGATGGAGTTGGCAACGTCAACATCTGTGAGTTGATTTTATCATTTATAATAGTTACACATAGCCATGTGCCTACAGAAAATGCAGGTGGGGACCAGCTGGGTCTGCGTGCAGGAGCCTCACAGTGCCCTGCCTTAGCTTCTGCAGCCCAGTTAGCCCCTTTCTTAAACGGGAGCCCCCCAAGACAGAAGTTGATAGCGCTGTTGGCTCCATGGCAGGCTTCAGCTCTAACTCATCTGTGTGAAATTTAGCTCAGGGGAATACTGATCTTTCTTTCTTCACATTTTTTGTATGAAGGAAAGTGTACTAATGAGAAAAGGCATCACCTGGGTTGGAAGTTAGTGCAAAGGTGATGTTAGAGGGTGTCTTTCCAGCCTGGGAAGCATTGCGTACTCACCTTGCCTGGACATTGGACAGGTGCTGGTGTCTCAGGGACACTGTCTACAGCTCTAAACCAGTGGCTCTACATTTCATCCACTTAATTGCCGCTGATAGCTGGGGAACCACGTGCCCACAGCCTCTTCGGTGCACCACGAGATGAGCTGAACGTGTTTATGATGTGAGGGTTCTCCATGCACAGGGGGTCTTGAGCCAAACTGAGCGATGGAGAAGGAGATGGGCTGCTCAACCCCCCCATGCATCTGGCTTAGCACAGAGAATAAATGCTCTGGACCAAATTTAGCGTCCTGTTTTGCAGGAGATCGTAGAGAGTTTTCATCTGGTTGCTGCAATTTAAAAATGCCCTTTTTGTGAGGGTGCCAAACTGTGTTCCAAGTTCCCTGGTGTTCACATTTCGTTTGCTTCTCTCTGTGCCACAGCCGTGGTCAGCTCCAGCGGTGGAGGTTCCAGTGGATTTCTGGGAGGAGGCCTTAGCCTGGGAGCAGGCATGGGCAGCGGGGCGCTCGGCTTCTCCTCTGGGGGTGGCTCCAAATCCTACACCATCACCACAACCTCGTCCAGCAGGAGAAGCATCAGGAAGTAACTACAGGAACGGAGATCAGCGGTACCCATTACACGGGAGGAGGGAAACCATAGAAAGAAACGTTTTGTTGCCTTTTATAGGACAAATTGGCTGCAAAATTTCTGCAGTGGTGAATGAATTGGAGTAAGACATACCAGAGTACCTGACCCTGCCGCATCACGCCTAAGGCTTGATCCTGCACTGTTGAACTCAGTGGGCACCATTCCACTGAGAGCAGGTTCAAGCCTGTAGGGTGAAATTTATCCAGCGAAGCAGGCAGTATAATGCTTTTGTTACTTGTGTGCTTGGTACCCCCTGTTCAGAGCTGGATTTCACCCTTTGAAGGGCAAAGCAATCATCTGAGCGGCAAGCTATTCCACATTGCTGCTGTGGTTTTGCAAAAGAGACCAGAAGATTATCTCCCTCTTAATACCATTTGGAAGACTTCATTCCCTTAGGTTCCTCAGAAAATGCCAACCCTGGTTAAGATTTCATCCTGGGTTTGTTTTCTTAAAGTGTACCAGGAAGAAAACAGTGAAACTGTTTTGGGTTTCTCCTTATTTTCTTTGGAAATGGAATTCAACAGTTCTCCTCTGAATGAAGGCAACGCAGATGGATTTATTTTCAGGTTCCTTATAGCGAAATAACTCATAAACCAGCTCCCCCCCCATTCCCTCTCCTTAAGAGAAGCCCAAAGCTTAAGGGATATGAAGTTGCTTAAAATTCTAAGTAGCACACTAAAAGAGGAGATAACATTCCCCATCCCTGGGAGTCTCTGCTTACCACCCTGTATTTCAAAGCATACCTAGTGATATCTGGTGTCTTGACTACAGCTAGGGAAAAAGCGTGTTTTGTTGATGCATCATTACAATAACTACTTGTTCCTGCCAAAATGTGTCTTCAACTTAAACATGCCAGGGAAAATAGTTAGGTCATTACCGCGGTAGGAAGAATTGTTAGATAAATAACAAAACTGCACAGAATTTTTGTATTGCATGCTCAGCCGTGTCCTAGCAGTGTATTTTTTGGTTGACGTTTTATGCCTTTGTGATCTGAGACCTTGTTGTGAGGCCGTTAATAAAAAAGTTTCCCTATTGTGTGCTGCTTCAGTCCCAGCTGATTTTCTTGTCTGTGGTGCCCTGGATGCTCAGGAGCTCTGGAAAACATTGAATTCCCCCCTTCCTTCTGTCTCCAGAGCCTGCTCCTGGCTCTGTCCCCTCGAGCAGTGCCACACTGTGGTCAGGGTCAGGATTTAGGGTTTGCTACCTGCATGGTCTCTCATTGCTGGGTGAATTTTAGCTGCCTGCTTTGCACCGAGTCTGGGCAGCGGGATTATGGGGCTGGTTTTGTTCAAGCACTTGGCTCCAGCCCAGCCCCTGATCAGGACTACAACTGAGACCAATCCCTGTCCCATCTTCTTCTGCTGAGCCGAGGTGGAGGAGACACCTCTCTTGCAGATGGCCAAGGCTTGGAGAAGTAAATCTGGGCCTTGCTGCATGAGGACAACTCATTCCTGCGCCTTTTGGGGCAGCATGGGGTGAGAAGGGCTCCCCCCAGGGCGATTTGTGCTTGCTTCCACTCCTCTCGCAGGGCCATGGTGCAGAGGCAGGACATGCCCTTGCTGGAGCTGCTGGTGCAGGAGGCATCACCCCAGTGGGGATGGGGCCAGGCAGAGATGTTGTAGTCGCTGAGAAAAGCTGTTTCCTCCAGGATGAGGATGGCGACGAGGCTGCCAGGGCCTTGAAGGATGCTTTACCCACCTGTGGCTACCTAGACCCCATCACTCCGGTGCCCAACGCGGCCCAGCACCTCGCCACTGAGCAAGCACAGTGCTGAGCCTGTGTGTGGTTTTACTACACGGGCAGCATTAATGGCAGGGAGGGGAGGAATCCAGGGTGCCCAGCAGAGCCACGTTATCGGCAGCCTGGCACGCCCAGCTCATGGCTTTTATGTCATAGCCAAAAAATCAAAATGAAAAAAAATCCCCTGAAGTTAACTGAAAGGAAGAGCTCAAAGAAAGGCATTGCCCAGGTGATTTTGGCAGGGGCTGCCGCTGTTTGCTGTCGTTTGCACAGCTTTGTGATACTTAGTGAGGAATTGCTTGTCTCTCTCAGCATTGCAAGAGATTAGCAGGGCTGCAGCACTGCTCCTTGGATTTCTGGGTATCAGGCTTGCAGCCCCGGCCTGGGCGGGGGCACGTGCAGTCTGTGTGGCTGCAGCTTTTCCACGTTGGCAGAACAACATATGCTGCGTACCGGTGCTGGGGAAAAGGGGATCGGCACGCTTCGGGGAACACCGTGAAGTATCTTTGTGAGTCCGCAGAGATGGACTCGGTGCTTTGTGCTTGTCTTTGGATCCAGTCTGGGCTCAGTCTGGGGTCATAAGTGGAGCTGGTTGAAATCTCATCTCTCTGCGTCGGAGGGGATGCTGAGATTATGAAGGCAAAGCGCCCTGAATTAGTGTAAAAGCAGGCGTATCCAGAGTATCCTGTTCACTGAAATTTCTGCAAGCTGGATTTGGGAGAAATAATTCAGCTTCAGAAGCAGCTTTGCAACGGGGGAGATTTTTGCACTTCTAGAGAAGGGAGACAGACACGACCCAGAGAAACCCAGCACCTCCCCACTCCAGAGCCCTCCACCATGGAGCACCACCGCTGCCGGCCGTCGCCCAGCTCCCACCACTTGGACTGAGCCTCCTGGGTGCCAGACTTTGCCTCCCACTGCTTGTCTGAATAGCAGCTGAGCTTCCCGTGCTGGTGGGCAGGATGCCACTGCTGGAGAAAATAGAGGCAAAAAAAGGAGGATGATGGGAGCAAGCAGGTCTCAGAGGTATTAAAAGGTAGCAAAAGCCATCAAACAATCCACAACTGTATTTTCTGGCCTCCCTGTTTTGCAGTGGTGACTAAGAAGAATAATGAGCGTCTGAAATGTGGATAAAATCATACACAAAGGATGCTCATGTTGGTGCGGGGCCAGGAACGTGCCTGGTCTGGACGTTGGGGTGACCCGGCAAGCTGCTGTGGTTCATGGAGGAGCTGTGAATTTGGGCTCAAAGAATTTAGGGAAAGCTGGAGGTTGTTTAGCTTTGCAAATGTGAGTTGAGGGAAAAAGATGGAGCCCAGTAAAGAGCAAAGATAATTGCAGAGGGCAATTCCTCCTCAAATGGGCAAGTCCTTCGACCCATCTGGTGACATCTCAAGGACACTATTCTGTTCATGCTTTGGGGCCGGGTATGGCCAAGACCCTCCTGGCCCGGTTTTCCCTCCTGTTATGATTTAGGCAGGTAATACTACACAGTCAGGAGCACATCCATCTTTCTGAACTCACCTGTGCCTTTTCAGCCTTCTACAGTACAACTCCATAACTGTAAGTGTCGCCTCCATCACTGAAGCATCTCAAAGCCTTTCATTATGATCACTTCAGTTAAACGTAAAAAGTATGCTTTATAATAACTATCTAAGTATACTCTATAATATATTTTTTTAACCTGATAATTTAAGCAAATACTTCTTTGAGGGTTCCTTCTATCTCTGCTTGCTCCTGGCCTCTGTATTTCTCCCCTCCTAGTGAGCTGTCCTGATTTTCTCTCTCCAGTTAAGTGCCCCAGCCGAATGCCGTGTTCCTGCTGGACCACCCCCAGTGTTTCCTTCTGGGCTGCGTTGCAGGATGCGGTCGCTTTGCTCTGTCCACCTGGCCCCGTGGCACTGCCGTACCACCAGCCGCAAAGCCTGGGATGCGAGGTTGGCCGTGCGGTATTGTAATAACAGGACTGAGGTCATTGGCAACGCGGTTCTGTCCACAGATGTCAGATGTTTTACAAAGCAGGTAAGTTCTGTTCTTCTCTGTGGGGAAACCGAGGCAGGGGAAGGGGGAGGTCTTGGAT